CATGCGGACCTTGCCACTGGGGTCTTCCGCAGAGCACCCTATAGGGCCACGAAGCGTGTGACAGGTGCGCCGACATGGGGGTGGAACTGCATGCGAACCTTGCGATTAAGGCCTTGGATGGAGCACCCTATGGGGCCACGAAACGTGTGAGAGGTGCGCCGAGATGGAGGTGGAATTGCAAGTGGACCTTGCCATTGGAGCCTTTGTTGGAGCTCCCTATGGAGCCACGAAGCGCTATCATGGGTGGGTGGAACGCAGGGAGGAGGAGAAGGAAGAGGAGGGAGGAGGGGAAGGGAGAGGGGGGCAGAGCGGGAGGAAGGTGGGAATGCAAGGTATTGTCTCTTCAAAACAGGACCCAATACCACAACATGTATTTAAATAAGACATTTTTTTAGTAATATGGCTCAAGGATGGAAAGACGTCTTGCTTCTCTTCTCGTAGCGTGTACGCGTACCGTCGTTGGCCCCGTATTCGACCATTATGTTTTTTTTTGTCAATTGGAAACCAACCTTTTTTTATTTAAATTCGCAATTCTTGACGCTTCTCCGCGTGTCATTACCAGCCCATCCAGAAACGATCAACAAAAAAAATGTGAATCAGGGGCGGCAAAACGCATGCAATTGCGCAGCCATCTTCGAGAAAACAAAAAACACAAAGAGCTTCCCGCATTGAATTTTAAGATGGAAGCCAATGCAAGCTATGATGGCGTTTCGATGAGGGGTGAGGGATGGTTCGATGATTCGAAATGCTTGTTGCACTGACTTGTATCTTAAACACGCCTGCATCTCGAATTTTGGATTTTGGCGCTCTTTTGGGCTTCTGATGGGGCCCTCCTGGAACTCTTTCTTGATGTTTTCTTGGGGTCCTCTTCAGGCTTTTTTAATGCCGTTTTGGTGCCCTTTTGGTGCGTTTTGTGGCCCTCTTGGGGCTCGTTTGGAGGATTTAGTGGCCTTCTTGGTTTTTTTTTTTGCAATGCTTGAAAGACTTTTTCGAAGAATCTTGGGCCCCTTCGCTAAAAAAGATGCGGGGTTTTAATTCACAGTACTCCTTGGAAGGGGCTCAAAAATACCGGTTTGGGGCCTTCTTGTGCCGCTCTTGTAATGTTTCGGGCTGTTTTGGGTCCTTTGTGTGATCATGTAGGAGGCATCTTAGGCTGAACAATATCGCGGAAAAGCTTTTCCAAACGCAGGGAAGGGAGGATAAGTACCTCCCCCGAGCAAGGAAAAGAAAAAAGGTGGAAAAGGAAACGTTTTAAACCACTTGCGCCCAGAGGGCTGGTGGGACTATCAAGCAATAGTGGGTGGCAAGAGGCATTGACACGCGGGACAACAACGGGCGCGTGTCTCTGGTTTTATACTTCCGATGTTTTGGCAGTAGTTGTTATTTTGATAATGATTATCATTCATGTTTGTTTTCGTTTTTTTTTTGTGTCAATGCGGGACGAAGCCTAATTCATCCCCGCTTATTTGTACGCACGTTTTGTTTGAAAGGTTTCCACATTAGCAAGCGATTCATAAACCATTCGGTTACCGTTGAACGGTGTTTTTCGGCCTGCGATGTGTTCACATGACGCTATCGTGCCGCATTTTTCCACTGAGGACTGTGTAAATGCTTTCGCGCGCCAATTGTCCGGCGCAAATTGTATTAGATTTCGTCTCCCTCCCTCCTCTTGCCCTTCCTCCGCGTCCCTCTCTCTCTCTTCTCTTCGCCCCCCTCCTCTGCCAGAAACAAACATTCTGAACTATTAGTTGTGTTGGCACGCCGCCGCTCCCGCAAAGCGGAGAGAGCAACCGCACTGTCTCGCCTTTTTGCCCACGCGCTCCGGCGTATGGCCTGATTGAATGAATCACTCACCTCTCAAAATAGCGAAATTTCGGTACATAACGAGAATCACCGACTCGCCTCCCTGCCACTGTCAAATCCCGTCTCTCCTGCAATCAATGCCCATGCTAAAAATATGTGGTTCCAACACTTGCGTTTCCAAAAACAAGTGCAATACTTCGTTCGACAAATGCGTCCAACAAAACGGCGCATATAAGTTTTGCTTTCTACCCCTGTGCATGCCTGCATACATGTTTCCTGTTGCACGTATTGAACACTCTAAGATAACGTTGCTTTGCGCCGTTCGGTTTACGGCTCGTGTCAAGGTGTTCCTGGAGTGATATATTCAAGCCTGGCCTGGGAAATATGCAAATGATATGCTGCCCTGCTTGAACTTGTCTGTGCAGATTAATTTGGCCACAACCGTTGGTCGATGACAAACAACTTCCGACAAAAATATCCCCATGTCCACCCGCATCAATCTTCCCAAACGGTTCCCTGCTCATTCGCAATATCTTGGAGAAAAATATGCGATTAAGGTGCACGCCAGAATTTATGCTCTGCTTTGCTTGCTACAAACGCACGTTGTTCCGTAACCGAATCTGTAAATCCTGAAACATCGCAATGGGTTTGGACCAACTGAATTACATGTGGTGCCAGTCTCTGCGGACGTAGTGCTGCGTATTCACGGCATGTATTCCGAAACGACAAGGTCCATACTGAATTTGGGCCTGCACTTTGGTTACGCTCTGTACATATATATATATATATATATATATATATATATCCACATATTTATAAGCACGCAAGTTCTTGATAATGAACCGATGTATATCACAACTTATTCTCCGTCGGACTACGCGTATCTCCGCATGAATGTCGATAAAATAAACGCTGCGGAATATGCCAGCCAACACGTTCCGTTCAAGAATCACGGATAACAAACGGCACATCTTTCCGTCCACAATTCTGGGCGTGGGTTTCAGAAGGCATGGGTGCTTATTCTACGCCTCGAGGAAATCTGGGGGGATTCACCAAACTGCCGACCAATCCCGCCAGCTCAATACAACATATTGCCGGGGGGCGAGTGTCGGACGACGGACCATGATGTTCCGATATGATCGAATGCACATATTCATATCATCGCGAATATTGCAAACCATTCGAACAACAACCATGCCGATCTGTCTGCGTGTACGCGTAGAACTCTCAATAATGGTTCGTCGGGTCTCTCCAGGTCGCTGTCGGGAACCCCTTCGGAACAATTTTGAAGCCTGTTGAGCCACTTGGTAACCTCGTGGGGGGCGTTTTGAAGGTTTCTGGGTGTTGCTGGGTGCTTCTTAAAACCCTCTCAGGCCCCGCGTTCGGGTTCTGAATCTGAGCCCCCTCTTAAGGCCGTATTCGATTTTTGATGCCGTCTTAGGCCCCTCTTGAACTGTCTTGGGCCCTCTTAGCCCGTTTTGGTTGGGGCCTTCTCGGGGGCCTTGGCCGTTTGGGGGCGATTTTGGAATCTTCGTGGCGTCGGGAAGGCAAACCGTGGCGGAACACAAGCCCATTTCCTACTGGCGTTGGTTTGCGAGCAAATCGTTGGTGCAGAAATTCTGCGGAAGGGACGTGCCCAACTGTGTCGGACAATCTTAATACCCTACTTTGCCACAGTGCACTGTTGCTTTGTGAATTGCATTGTAAGGCTCACCAAATCCACTTCCATATCACTGTATGGAACCATTTTGACTGTCATAATCTCCAACGCGCCAGCAAGAATTGGGCGTTGCAATTGAGGCAAGCGTTGGTCGGTCCATCGGCGCAGTGCCCTCGACTTTGCAGCCAGACCACCAGGACCTGGTAATTTTGGGCGTCGAGGGCGCGGCGGCTGAGCAAATTCTGGGGATGTCCTGCGCGGGAGAGCAGTGTTGAATACAGCGCGATGAAGTATCAAGCAGGAACCATTGCAATTGTAGTCTGGGCCTTCAGCAGCTCAGGTTTGGACTGAAGTCCGCACTTGAAAGTGAGCATCGTTTCAAAGAAAACGTGATCCATGCTCGAACAAGAGCGCTCGGTCAATCTCCTGTACAGCAACAAGAAGTATTTCCTAGAAAAACATTAAAAAACAGCGGCAAGAAGAACGACAACCCGCCAACGACATTTCGTTTCCTCTTCCAAAACCCCTTCTACCCCTGCGGGTGGGCTTATCACTGTTCCCTATTATCAAACACACGACCGGCGGCCAACCCGGACCCATGAGAGCACGGCAGCCGACCGGGACCCATGAGGGCACTCAAGAAGGACCCCCCCTGCTAACTCGCCTGGGCATCATGATCATTTTCTGGATCATCATCATCACCGGTATGCTTCTACATCATGATCGAGGCAACTCGCCTGGGCATCGTTTCTGGATGGCCTACCTAATGGAATACGCGAAGTGTCAACATGTTACTTGCAATTTTTGCTGGCCCTCTGACCTGAAGTACCAATACCAATGCCCAACCGAGCGGCATACGCAGAGAAGACGAATTAGGGAGAATCCATGCACACCTTGAGCCAGTAAGCTCCCTCCCTTGATCCCCAGACGCGACTGGATTTTCTAAGGATTTGATTTGTTCCATGCGTGGGCGGCCTTCCTACCGCATGCTTGCTGCCGCAGAGGGTGAGGACTATTGCGATGTGGTGTGAAGTGGGGAATGGGATGTGGATGCTGGTGACTAGGGCGAGATGTGAGAGGAAGAGTGAGAGGCTTCGCTATAGTGCAAGCGTGCTGACTCCGGGGGGGAAGGAGGGAACGATGCTGGGGAGGACGCGGGGAATGAAGATCCGGATGCTGATTCATAGAAAGGGTCGATGGGGAAACAAATTCTTGATAATATCCGTTTGCATATCCATTCGCTGGTCGTTGACCGGTTTCCATGTTTACGTGCTGCTTTGTGTATAGACGACGTGGGTTTCTGCCCTTGAGTACGTTCGCCCTGGCCCCATCACAGAGAAGAGCGAAGCGCCCAGAAGTGATACACCAGGCGGCCTCGCGCCACGTCTGGCAACCCACTCCTCCCGCCCATCCCTTCCCATTGCGCTGCGCTGTCTCGTGTCCGAGAGGTGTCCGAGAGAGAAACAAGGAGTCCCAAAAGGACCTCATCGTGTGGTGCGCCAATCACAAAGTAAGGCGCCGGAGGTCATAGGAGATTTTGCTTGCTCGGCGGGGGCCGTCAGCACGGTCTCCTCAGGAGGGGACGTGCTGCGGGAGCAGCTCGAGACTGGCGCTCAGCACTGCGCGCTCCACGCCCAGCAGGTCGCGGGCCGTCGCGAGCAGCTCGGCGCCAGGCTGGGGGCCTTGTCCCCTGCAGCCCCCACGAGCCAGGCGCAGCAGGTTGGTGTCCACCCCGTTGATGGCCTCCTCGACCCAGCGCCGCGCCAGGGCCACGGCGGCGACCTCCAGGCCCTCCTCCAGCTGGCCACCGCGCAGCACGCCGACGCCGAGCAGGGCCACCTCCTCCTTGCTGGGGCCTGCTTTCCACCACCACCACCACCATGAGTTAGAGGGGGGAAGGAGGAGGAGGAGGAGGAGGAGGAGGAGGAGGAGGAGGAGGAGGAGGAGGAGGAGGAGGAGGAGGAGGAGGAGGAGGAGAACGAGGAGGAGGAGGAGAAGGAGTAGGAGTAGGAGTAGGAGTCAAGCTAGCCAGCTCGAGCGAGTCAAGCATGGCATGCCCAGTCCCACCCGCCCTCCCACAACATAAGAAGCAAAGCTGGCACAACTGGGGGCCGAAGTCACACCGGCCAGCCGGTTTGGTACAGCTGATGCGGCCGCGATGGCGGTTGCCGACGGGAACTGGCGAGCGCGTGTTGAATGCCGCGCACGCATTGCCAGACGAGTCGAGAATGGCCCGGTACACCGCAGGAAGCCAGAGGTGGCCGGAGGAAGCCCGACGGTCTGACAGGACACCCCAAAGCATTTTTGTGAAAAAGCATTGGGTTTTTGATGTTTTTATGTTGAAATGCTTGCAAACACACGGTGTTCGGTAGGATTCTGACATGAACGCGCGAGTGTGCTCTTTGTGGTATTTTTTGCACAGGATTCGCGGCCTGGGTGCATGACAGAGCATCGCGAGTGCACCGCGCGATGACGTGAAATCGCTGGATTTGACAGAATTCTTAAGATTCCTATGGTTTTCCTATGATTTCAGCAAGAGAGCCCGGGCGGGAAATTTGTACAATTTTTGTGAAAAAAGCATTGGGTTTTTGATGTTTTTATGTTGAAATGCTTGCAAACACACGGTGTTCGGTAGGATTCTGACATGAACGCGCGCGTGTGCTCTTTGTGGTATTTTTTGCAATGGATTATCGCCGTGGACGACAGGACGTCCATGTCGAGAGGAAAAAATAAGAAAAATGTTGATTTTGTATTGTTTTTTACAGGTTAGGATGGGACCACCCGGATGCGGCCCCTATCTGGCCGGCCTGAGGGGGGAGTAGGAGTATATTCTAATAAGGAATAAGGATAGGAGGAGGAGGAGGAGGAGGAGGAGGAGGAGGAGGAGGAGGAGGGAGAGAGGAGGAGGAGGAGAGAGGAGGAGGAGAGCAGAGGAGGAGGAGGAGGAGCAGAGAGGAGGAGAGGAGGAGGAGGAGGAGGAGGAGGAGGAGGAGGAGGAGGAGGAGGAGGAGGAGGAGGACCCCCTCCCCCTCCAACTTATGGTGGTGGTGGTGGTGGTGGTGGTGGAAAACATGCCCATGACTCCGGGCTGCGGAGGACGCACAGGCGGGCCGCTGGCAGCAGCAGGCCGCCCGCCTTGACGTTGTCCGGCAGGTTCAGCAGCAGCGGCCGCCACGCGCCCCTGAACCAACCGACCTCCTTCGGCTACACGAAAGAGTGACCCTGGGTAAGGGTGACCTTTGGTGCGCGGCTTTTGGGGGCCGCTGGGTAGCCAAATACAAGCGCGCAAGACGCCACTGCCGCCTCGAGTTCAGCGATCGCGGGACCCCGTTGGGTCCGCACCAAAGGTCACTCCGGCGAAAGGTCACTCTTACGTCTAGTCGACTCCTTGAGAGCCCTGACGCGCGCAGCCCGCGCCGCCTCCCCCCCAGGCAGCCCGGGGTCGTCCACAGGCGCCTCCAGGTAGCACTTCTCGAAGCGGTCCGTGGCATCGACGCCGCGGGCGCGCTGCACGAAGGCGTAGCGGGTGAAGATCTGCATGCTCGGCCCGTAGTCGTAGCTGATGAGGAGCTCCTCGCCCGCCTTGAGGTCACGATCGGCGCTCAGCTGCACAAAGCCCTCCTGCAGCGAGCGGTCGTTCATGGAGCAGCTGGGCCGCATGCCGCCCCCCTCCACCTCGTGGTTCAAGAAATCCAGCATGGGAGTGAAGGAGAGGTTCGGCTTCTCCCCCATCGCGCCCAAACAAAAAGACCTGGAGTCGACCATCGCGAGCGCCCAGCGAGCCTCCTGCTCTGTCTCGGCCAGGCCCGCGGACAAAAGAGCCCTGGTGAGGGCTACCCCTCGCATTAGCGCATGGCGCGCCGTGAAGAGGCCCTGCGGACTGGCCGGCCAGAGAGCGTCAGGTCGGAGGCCCCGCGGCCAGAACATTGGGTGCGTGGGCATGTCCTGCGCCTGGGGCAGTGATGCCAGGTAGGTCGCGAAGCGCGACGCACCGCCCAGCCGCTTCTCGTGCAAGAGCGCAGCTGCCAGCTGGGCCCACGGTGGGAGGCCCGCTGCCGCCTCCGGCGCGCCCAGCGACGAGATCGTCATGCTGCAGGGGACCCTCGCGATGACCTCGCCCTCCGCGAAGTCTCGGGTCGCGAAGACGCCGTTGCCGCCGCCCTCCAAGCCTGAAGCCCGAGGCTCAAGGCCGTCCACTTCGAAACCATGCTGCCTCACCCACTCCATCAGCGGCTGCATGCCTGGCTCGCAGCCGCCAACACGAGCGGCCCGCGGGCCCCGGCGCGTCCTTCTCGGCCGAGCCCTGGCGGCACCACCCGCGGCGGCCGCCGCCGCCGCAGCGGCAGTCAGAGGGCCTCGGCCGCCGGGCCCTGCACCCTCACAGGCCGACGCCCAGGCCGACGCCGACGAGGGCGCCGCATCGAGTGCGAGCGTCGCGGTCGCAGCCTGCAGGCCGCCCGCTGGCCAGGTCACCCCACGAGCTGGCTGCAGCACCGCCATCGCTCGAGCCACGGGGGCCGGTGCTGCCAGCATGCAGCCGCGAACGTACGGCCTTGAGCCAACATGGCTACAACGGGGCGTACGCGAGAAGAGCAGGTGAGGCGCCAGCCGCAAAACAGCAAAAGTCCCACCGCGGGCCCAGCCGCCCCAGAAGTCAGCACGGCGCTGTTGCGTTGCGCTTCCGGCCCCGCGCTGTCGACGCTTCGCTGTTGCCACTGACTGTCGGCGCCCATCCACGGAGAGCGCACTGGGATGTCAGAGGAAGATCCCACCACCCATTTGGTCCTGGATCGTTTAGCGACTTGATTCTTCCAGTCTTCTTTTTCCCTTGGGGTGAGGCGTATCAATGTGAGCCCGTGCGGGTCCAAAACATAATAAATTTAGCAACCTGTGTGGAGGAACCTATGTGGTGCAACCTACTTGTTGCAATTAGCTTTTCTTCGCTGCGAATTGTCTCAACTCCACTGCTCGCGCAATCATCCCCCACCCACCCGCAACTTGGTTTGCAAAACCCATGCGGCGGCGATTGCGATGAGTGCTTGGCGCCGGGGCCGCGGTAGCGCGCGCAAGCTCGCGCGCACTCCAACGAGTCTGGCGCGACCGACGCGGCCGCGATGGCGGTGACCGCTGGGGACTTCCAAGCGCGTTTCGCAGGCCGCGTTGACGCGCGGGCACTTGGGTCTTGCATTTATTTGCGCGCGGGCGCACTTCCTCACCATCGCCCCCACGAGCGCCTCCGCATCACCACTCGTATCGTCATTGCCAGTCGCCGCCATTGCCGCCATCATCAGACGATCAGCTTGCTTACCTACACATGGACATCATCATCTTCAACGTCGCAACCAGCATCGACACCGTCATTGGCAATGCCGTCGTCATGGTCATCGTCGCCAACACAATCGCTGCTATCATAGCCGTTGCTGCCTTCGTCGACATACAGCGCCCGTCAGTGTCGACCGCACTGAAGTTCTCTCGCGCCGGCGCGGCCTTCGAAGCGCCCTTGGGATATCCTATCGGCAAGAGCCATCGCGGCGCCGCATTTGTTGTGCCAAACCAGCAAGCTTCTCTGCGCGCGAGCTTGCGCTTAGCGCAGCCGCATGAATGCGCCAGCCAGTGCCAAGTAGTCAGCACAATTGCGGCCGCATGGATTGCGCAAAACGAGTTATGGGCGAGAGGGTGGGATGACTGCGCGAGCAGTGGAGTTCTGCAAGCTGGACAGCTTGCACAAAACATCATGCTTCACGTATAACACACATCCAGTGCAACCGCTTGCTGCTCGGAGTCCACGATGACGAATCTGTCAGAAGGCCGTCGTATTACTGACCTGCGATTTCTCATGCTAGACAGCTCCGAGACGCATGCCAAACTACGCGTCACAAACATTGCTGCTGAGGTGGCCATGTCGGTCAAGTCGAGCGAGGTGGGGGGCGGGAGCAGGCCCCGAAGGCGAATCTGGTTCACATAGGCATCGTATGGCACTTGTGCCGCAAGACTGACGGGAACGACTTTTCAACGGAGCCACGCTCCCCCTGCGCACCAAGACGATGGATGATTCCGGTAGCTGGGCGTCGCCTTGCTCCCCCACGCGCTCACCTGGAATGCGAGTTGCACAAGACCGCGTAGCGCTGGAGTTCGTACGTCCGCGCGCGTCTGACATGGTCAGGTGCCCCTGTATTGTCCGCGCTGAGTGTGGCCTTGGTCGGAACACGAACCGACACTTCGAGACCTCCGCCGCAAGACGTGATGCTCCCCGAGACCGCCAGCACGCCCCCGAGTGGCCACCCAGAAGCTCCAGGAGGCCCCATAAGAGGCACAAGGCAGGCCGCAAGGAGCGCCCCAGGACATCCCAAGCCGCAACCAAGAGGGGTCCGAGAGAGGCCTCGCAGGAGATCGCCAAGGGCATCCGAGACGCCGAGATGCCTCCGCCCTGCAAACACGGCGCGGCGGCGGGACGGGCCGAACGCCACTGGAATACCAAGATGAATTCGGAGATGGCAGCTGGTACTGGAGGGGTCCATACTTCGATACTTCGGCTTC